GTTCAGCTGGGCAGAGCTGCAGCAGTTTCAGACCAAACTCAGCCCAAGGGTGGAGTGCTGCCTGGCTTTAAACTCCCAAAATGGCACCTTGGACCTGTGACCAGAGAGGGTGGGGCTAAGCACCTTTAAAAAGTTGTTGTAATAGTAAATACTTTGTTATATATCCTACAGTGCAAGACATAAATTAGATTTGTTTTATAATATTCAAAATTTGCCTTTGCATTTTATAATAATTTTTTTTCCAGGAGGTCTGTACAATACTGCTGACTTTTACAATTATTCCATTAGGACAAAATATATCTGTAGAGTAGGGGAGAAATATTTGGGGCTTGTTAGTTAAATACAAGATAAGTACATCCTCTTGAGTTTTTTCTTGAGACTGGAGCCAAGAAAAGATCAAACTCACTATGGAAAATAAACAGGAAAGTACAGATTTTAGAGTTCAACAGGTGTGGGTTTATATCTAGCTCTAACACTTACAAACTATTTAAGATTTGACAAGTAATTTAAATCATTTGAGCTTAGTGTCGTCAACTATAGGTTTTTGGGTTTTGTTTTTCTCATAGGTAAGTTTGTGAAGCTTAAAGGAGAAGATGTAGGTAAAACATTTTTCATGGGACTTGGCTCATAGTAAACAATTTATAAGTAGCAACTATTGTTTTGTTATTATTCTCTTTTGCATAACTTGGTAATATTAAAGTTCCATTTTGATAGTATTTAATAAAAAGCATTTAGATCGGAGGTCAAACTTGTGAAATCCAACCAAAGTATGAAAGGATAATTTATTGCTTTTAAATATTGACCTTACCATTTGCCTATTCTGAAGGAATCCTAACATACTGTCTCTTTAATTCCACAATTGTTGACAAAAATATCTTCTCCACTTCTCTGCATTTAAATTCCTGATCATCTTCAGGAAAAAATGTTTTTTCCTGAAGATGATCAGGAATTTAAATGCAGAGAAGTGGAGAAGATATTTTTAAGCATAAAATAAGTTTTTTAAAAAAGGGGTAAAATATGATATATTTGAGCAAATTCAAGTGTTAAAAAGCCACAGTAATATAAAGTGACAAATTGGAGAAATATCCACAACATATAAAACTGACAAATGGTTTATACATTTAATACATAAATAACTTGTATAAATCAGTAGAAATATGGATACTCTTTTATTCAACAAATATTTATTAATGAATGTCTACCTTATGACAAGTACTGTACTGGGCTAAATTAAAACAAATTATATGTAAATCATGGAGCATATGAAATATTTATCTATCAAGCAGATTCCAGTAAACATACATTCATCCTTTCCTCAAGTGTCTTTTTTATTTTCTCCTTATTGGGTAGATGCCCAGTAATGGGATTGCTGGATCAAATGGTAGATCCACTTGTATCGCTTTAAGGTATCTCCATATTGCTTTCCACAGAGGTTGAACTAGTTTGCAGTCCCACCAGCAGTGTAGGAGTGTTCCTCTCTCTCCGCATCCACGCCAGCATTTATTGTTTGGAGACTTTTTGATAAAGGCCATTCTCACTGGAATTAAGTGATATCTCATTGTGGTTTTGATTTGCATTTCCCTGATGATTAGAGATGTTGAGCATTTTTTCATATGTCTGTTGGCCATTCTCCTGTCTTCTTTAGAAAAGTTTCTGTTCAAGTCCTCTGCCCACTTTTTAATAGGGTTATTTGATTTTTTTCTTGCTGATTTTCGTGAGTTCTAAGTATATTCTAGTTATCAGTCCCTTATCGGATGCATAGGATGCAAAAATTTTCTCCCATTCTGTAGGTTGTCTGTTTACTTTCATGACTGTTTCTTTGGCTGTGCAGAAGCTTTTTAGTTTTATCATGTCCCATTTATTTATTTTTGTTGCTGCTGTGATGGAAGCTATGTATTAATAGTATGCAGGATGATGTTAGAAATAAGAAGTATGAGAAGGATAAGTGACTTAAAACTGTCAGGGTGGCAGTTTGCTCTTGGTTCTTGTGCTCTTGGTGGAAGAATGACCAGACATAGTGCCAGACAAAGTGCCAGGTCCGGCCTCTTGGTGGACTGTTATCCTACTTCTTTGGCTCCTTATTTGGGAAAAAAATTACAGGCAGGGCCGGTGTCACAGAGTGACCACAAGCAGGATGCAGTTTCACACGGGTAGCTTTTTATTATATTATAAAATGAAATAGGTCTGTCTTTGTGAATGGAGACAGACAGACTGACTCATTGACTAACTGACTGACTCTCTCTCAGGGAATTCTTGAGTTGTTTCCTTTTATTGAACTATTTAAGGAAGGGCTTTCAGGAGAAGGTATGGAATGTTACCAAATGATTAACAAATGTTCTCATGATTATAAATCTGTGTATGTGAGCTCCTTCACTAAAACCCCTACCTGGGCAGTGAACCACAATGTAGATTTAAGCTAATGACATAATAATTAGCCTTAGATTACTCTAGGTCACTTTCCAAATCCAATTATGCCTAGGCTGGAGAATTCTCAGGTTGGTAAAGCATGCCCTCCTTCCCCAGGTGTAGCAATTGCTTGGTACAGGATTAAGGGTGGGCAACACCAAATAAAGTGCCCGCCCTTAGTCTTCTTCCCAGGTGGGGCAATTGCTCAAGGCAGCACCAAAGCAGGGAACCCTTGTCCCTAGAAGAGCCAGAGATCCTAGCTATCTACCTAGGACGTATCTAGAATTCTAAAACTGCATTGAGTTGAAGGGACTCCAGGTCACTGAAATAAGAAGTGCCATTAATATAAATAAGGAATGCTAGAAGATGACAGGAAAGACTGGGAAAATTATGAATGGTATTTACAAGAGCAATTTTGAATTTGGGATGCCATTGGTAGGCAAAATATATGGGAATCAGGCTTATCAGAGAAATCAGGACCAAAAATGAAATTATCAGATTGTGTAAGAATTACCAAAGGTGGCATTTAGAATGTGAAAGTGGCTTAGGGCTAAACTTCCAAATCATAGACTTTTAGGAGACAGACAGAAACGAAGAAGAGGCAACAAAAAGGCAACCAGGAATATATAGTTTTAGTAACTCAAAGAGATATGTATTTCAAGAAGAAAGAGGTCCAATTATAGAGGGGATGGCTATAAAAACATTGGATTTGATAAATAGGAGTTTATCTTCTGAAACTGAGGAGGTGATTTCAAAAAGTGGTGAGGTCCTTAATGCCCCAGGTGGGAGAAACAGTCATAGTGACTTTTCTTGATAATACAAGGCAAAGACAAAAGGGGAAGAAATCTGTCTTAGTGAAGAGTAGTGAGAGAAAAGCAAGGTTTAATGTATAAAGAGTATGGTGAATTTAGTTGAGATTTATGTGAGACTTGAATATATCTAGCTAAAGATTACTAAAGGAATGAGATCAGAACTGTCAGCAGAATCAATAACTTTTTTCAGAAGGTTGTAAAATGAAGACAAGGATAGAGATAAAATTAGCTTAACTTCAGTGGGAAAATGTGTGTTTTTTTGGTTTTTTTTAGAATGGAGAAAACATAAGTTTATATTCTGAGCAGAAGAAGCCAATTCAAGAATAAAGGATAATGATGCAATTTTTCTTTAATTTTTTTGGTAGGACAGGTAGATAGAGGGGAAGATTTGGAAACCACAACATTAGTTTTGCTATTTGAGACTCTTTTTTTATTAATTTTTTACAAACCTTGTGTTGAGGGCTGACTTTCAATAGATCACAGTGAGGGAGCTGCTCTGGTACATATGAAACCCAGACCAAGAAACAGGTCATCTAGGGATGGTTTAGCACCAGATTCCCCACAACTGTGCATTGCGTGCTGGGCAAAGGGATGGCAGCTTTTCCAGCCGCATACTCGAAATTCTTTACCCAAGTTTTTTCACTTTTTTAGAACTTACTTTAGACCTTCATGTATGTGTGAAAGCATTATGCAATCAAAAATTTTTTTTGATGGTAGAATTTTCTTAACCAACAATATTTGATATTATGTGTACATAATTTCTAAATGCAATGGCCTATCTGGGGAATATTTTACTTTCTTCTCACTTGATGTACTGATCGACCAAGTAGTACAGAAGTGTGTTTTGAAGGTTAAAACTTGGAAATATTTTCATTTCCTTCCAAAGCAGGAGTTTTGTGAATATGTAATCTTATCATCACTCTTTCAAGCATTGTGACTTTTAAAAAAAGGTTTATAATAGTAATTTTTATAGCATTGCTATGAGAATCATTTAATTTTTAATTTTTTTATCAACAAGTATTTATTGAAGTCCTCCCATGTACCAGGATTAAGTTAATTAAAAATAAAAATTCAATGAATGTCAATTGCTATTAATATTATAAATATTTCATGTCTCTCCAAAGGAAGAAATACAATACAAATAATAGTATCAAAAAAGTAAGGATTACTTTGATTGTTGCATAAATTATTTAAACTTGAAAGCTCAAATGTTTCCAACATATTCAGTGGTAAAAATAAGTCAAGTTAAGAAACACACTATGGATTAATTATATATATGGCCCATGATATTATGTATAGGGAAGAAGCAATTACTGAACTTCCATGAAATAGTCTACTTGGTGCAATACTCTCTTCTTAGATGACATAGTTCATCTTCACCTCTAACAGAAAAAAGAAATTAAACCTCTGAACTGTTTCTGTACATTTTTTACCTCTTCTGGGGTTAATTTTAGCTGTTGGAGACAGCATATTTATTTGAGTGACCTGTATGTAAGATTGAGTTGAGTTTTTAAGAGCCTCACCATAGGTAAATGTTCTTTGTGTCTTTCATGGTCAAGTGGTAGAGGATTGATTGGAACTGAACATCTGTCATTTGGTACTACATTCCAACCATCTGAGAGTTGCTCTCTGCTGTCTAATGTGCTCTTATGCCAGAAATAACACTTAAGTTTCCTTTGAGCACCTAACCTGGCTGACAGACAAAGAATCAATAAATCCTGTTACACAGCTTTCAAACCTGCTATTTGTAAAAAGTAACACTTAAGATGTGTTTCTTTACAGGATAGTGCAGAATTGATCACTTCCCTGCTTCACAGTGGAGCTGATATACAGCAGGTTGGGTATGGTGGCCTCACTGCCCTCCATATTGCTACAATAGCTGGTCATCTGGAGGTAAGTCATGCTTTTGTTACCTATGAAAACAAAAGTTACCTACCTCATTGGATTCTTTTTCTCAACTGTTTGCAAATGGTGACTTTTAAGATTCTAGATGATGGTTTATTTTTTAGCCAATGAACACATTCATTTCTTCTGGGGGTAAAATTTAGCTATATCAATATGCTTTTGGTAGTCATTTCAGTCCATTTGTGACAATGTAATCAGTTAATTCAATTAATATAAAGATGGCTAGATATACAGAGGCTTTATAGCAGAGCATATAAAGTGCTTTGAAGTTTACTTCATGCAGAGTAAGGTCTAAATGAAAGATCATTCACTCGTTTATCTACTTACACATTACTTGAATAAATATTTATTAAGCATCTATTATGCACCAGATACTGTTCTAGGTGCCGAGGTAACAGCAGCAAGAAAGACAGGGAAATTTTCCATTTTCATAGAGTTTAGTTGTAAAGAATGAAACAGATAATTAAAATAAAGAAAATATATATGTTAATTAGTAGTAAGTACCATAAAAATAATAAAGTAGAACAAAATAAAGACAGAGCAACAGAGAAGTAGGTATCATTTTAAATAAGTTACATAGTGAAGACTTCTGATAGAAGGTGATATTGGAACAGAACTCTGAATGAAGTCAGAATACCATCTACGTAAAAGGAGAGAAGAACATGCAAGAAATAGCACATGCTTAAGGAATAGCACATGTAAAGGCCTTGAGGCATAAAAAAACTGTGAGTGTTTGAGGGACATGAGTGAGCCCAAGTTATTAGAGTTGAGTGAGCTGGAGGCAGAGTGATGGAGACAAGGTTAGGTGGAGGATTATAAGCTAGAATTACACAGTATTTTAAAGGCTACAAGAAGGGCTTTGGATCTTGTCTAAGTTTACTTGTCAAAGTATTAATTTTATATATCCTACTAGTGAAGCACTTCCATTTGCATGATTTGGTTAACTTTACCAATTTTCATAGAATAGTTTTTGCTGTCTCTGCCATTTGATAGATACAAAACTAAAGCTCTTTATTATATAGTAATTGTCTGTACAACTTACAAAGCCATTGGGAAAAAGAGCTATGTCTGGAATCCTGGTCATTTTACTTCAAAACTCCATGATTTTTAAACTCTATCAATTGTGGCAATAACATGTAGCCTAACAATGTAGTAAGTCTTATATCCTCGTTATTGAATAGTTATTGATTTTTCCTTTTAGTTATGTTGTGAATTAAATTGTACATTTCCACTGATATACACACATACACACAAACACACACACCAACTGTGAACAAATGGAGATGCATGTGCAATCACACATGAAGCCTATAAAATAGGTGTGATCCATCTCTTTTTAACAGTGTCACTTCAAAGGGCCCTTACATTCAATAAATATTAAAATATCTCATTGAGAGCAAAATAGTTTCCTTCATGTTGCATTTCCACCCCTTACCATATCACCTTATTTTCAAGAATAAATCTTTTTTATGAGATTCATTGTAAATATTAGTGAATTTGTGTAGGGGAAATCCCATTAGACTCACTTAAATATAAATGTTTTTTAAGAAAAAAAAAGAAACTAACTTAGGCCAGTGATAAAGTAAATGAAGTGGTAAATGTTAAGAAATGTGGGTGAAAGAATTTGTGAGGTAGGCATTAAGTTCCAATGAAACATCTTTGATCTTTTAATGCCAGGAAAAATGATAGAATATCCCCCTTTGTCTAGTGCCTAGCTGATTACATTTGTGAATGATAGAATTACAACAGTGTTGAAAGCAAAGTGGTTAAGAATTTGTTTTTTTAATCTCCTATTCAAATATCTTTGCTTTCTTGCTTTGTAAATAATATGGAAAAAGGGTTCATATTGATTCTACCAGCATTAGGGCAAACTTTACCAAAATAATTCCAAATAGATCTCTACTCTTGTCTTGCAATTCTCCATGGGTTTTCTGACTTCCCTCATAAGCTGATGTGTAACATTTAATGACTTTTATAGTCAATCACTGACACTGTATAAAATAGGTATGGATACATTAGCCTTTATTCACATGTTACATAATGGACTAATTAAGTTACTGATCAGATAATAAAAGAAAATAGTATCCAAAATAAATTATCTGAAATCATCTTATTCAAGATGGAGAATTTTTAAAAATATTTTTTCAAATTTATTACAGTTGACCCTGAACAACATGGATGTTAGGGATGCCAACTCCCTACACAGTTGAAAATCTGCATATAACCTTTGCCTTCCCCAAAACTTAACCACTAATAGCCTATTGGTGATCAGAAGTTTTACCAGTAACATAAACAGTCAATTAACACATACTTTGTATGTTTATGTATTATATACTGTATTATTACAATAAACTAGAGAAAAAGCATTATTAAGAAAATCATAAAGAAGAGAAAATATATTTACTATTCATTAAATGAAAGTGGATCATTATAAAGGTCTTCATCCTTATTATCTTCACCATGAGTAGAATGAGAAGGAAGAGGAAAAAGAGAGGTTGATTTTGCTGTCTCTGGGGGTGGAAGGGAAGGAAGAAAATCCATGTATAAATGGTCCCCAAAAGTTGAAACACATGTGGTTCAAGGGTCAACTGTAATTGTAATAAATACTCACTGTCGATGTCATTTTCTTTTTCCCACATTCATTAAACACATATTTTTGAGCCTCTACTTTCTCTATAACATAGTGCAAGAATATGGGAATGATAAGAAAATATGACATAGCTTCCCCCCTAAAGATGTTATAATGTAGCTGGAAGCACAAAGTGAATATGTATATTCTGGTTTCTCTTCAGATCATATAAATCTTTTGCCTTTGGCAAAGTGAATATACAGGAAAAATATATAAGCAATTCAAAATAAAATAGCAATATAGCTATAAGCAAGGCATAGGAAAAAGTCAAAGATGAGAGTGGCTTTGATAATAAGGAATACAGATGCTCCTCAACTTACAGTGGGATTACATCCCAATAAACCCATCATAAATTTAAAATATTATAAGTGGGAGGTGCATTTAATACATACAATCTACCAAACATCACAGCTTAGCGTGGCCTACCTTAAATGTGCTCAGAAATTCTTACATTAGCCTAGAGTTGGGCACAATCTCTAACACAGAGCCTATTTTATAATAAGTGTTGAGTATCTCATGTAATTTACTGAATATTGTACTGAAAGTAAAAAGCAGAATGGTTGCATGGGGAAGTATGGTTTCTACCAAATGCATATCACTTTTATGCCATAATGAAGTTAAAAAGTCATTAGTCATACCCTCGTAAATTGAGGACCATTTGTAATCAGAAATATGATAATTGCATAGCAAGAAAGCTCAAAGAACACAATATTAGAAGAGTTAGTAGTTCACTGGGAAGTTGAGTGTGAATAGAGATCAGTGTGGACTAGAAGAGTTAAGGAAGGAGTTACGAGAGGGAGTGTGAAAGTGGACTGCCCTTTGAATAATGGTAAGAACTGGGCAGCAAAAAAGAAGATGAATCATGTCCAAAAATGGGAAGTAAAAAATGAGCTGAGCACATTTAGGAGAGAGTAAATAGAATTATAGCATGAAACAGATTGGGAAGAGTCCCTGTAGGTAAATTTGGGTGTTAGGAATGGACCAGACTAAGGAAACTTTGAGAGTAGAAATCTAATTAGTATAATTCAATACAACAAACAATCATTGTAGTTTAGAATACACAACCCACAAGGCTAGATGGTGTGGTAGATAAAAAGATTAATACAACACAGAAGTTCTCACTATTTAAAGAAATTTGCAACCAAATAGGATTTTTTCTCATATGAAATAGGAAGCCTTTGAGAGTTTTTGAGCAAGAGAATGATTGGAGATTTGACAAGTAATGTGTTAAGAGAATTTCTTTGACTGCAGTATTTAGCATGAATTCTAGTGTGATGAGATGATGATTAAATAGAGATAAAGAATTGGGTTAAGAATTCAATTTGGAAGAAAAATCAATTAACTCCAGACATGCTGATTTTCTGATGACAACCAAATTTTCAAGTGCAAATGTTCATTAATCATTTAGAAATATATAAATGACATACAATGAGGGAAGTTTGTGCTTAATGTAATTTTTTGGAAATCTTATGTATAGAGGTGATATTTTAAGCCATAACAATAGCTGAAAGTTGCATATTGGGTATAATGGATGAGGCAAGGACTGAGCCTAAGAGAATATCCACAGAGACTTGATGAATTACTGAATAGCTGTTGAAGGAAGAAAGAAAGATTGGTCAGAGTGTTATGAGGAAAACTAGGATATTGTACTATCACAGAAATTAGGAGAGTTTCAAGAGTTAAAGGATCCTGGGTATCAAATAGTACAGAAAGATTGAGTACAATGGGATAAAATATGCATAGAATATTTCCTTACTATAACAAAAATTTAGACGTATATTCTATTCCTATTTTTTTACTATCTTGGTTAGCAGGGATAATGGCAATAGAGCAGTGGGAGTTCCCTTTCATTAGTAGTCACTATCTTTGATTGCCCACCTTTCTCTGTGAAACAATAGCTGATGCTAAGTCTGACAGGACTCTTTGTCTCCACGTACCAAATTCAGACCCTCCATTAGTGTCTGAAGTACGTTTGTCCTCCCATAATTGTGAATTCTATTAAACAGTTTTACAATAAAATTTACATTGACTAGACAGCTGCCTTCTTCAATAATAGAAGAGAACATGTGCTGTAGATTCCTAGACATGCTGACTACAATTTGAGACCCAGATTTAAATTTACTGTGATTTGAAAAGCAAGCAAATATTGGTTGCCCCAGGTTTCAATACTTCTCTCTGACTGATTTATCCATCTATCAATATATATGCATATGCTGTTTTATATAAGGCCTTAGATCCTCTCAGCAATCGGTAAACATGCATTAAACCCTCTTCTTCCCTTTAAGTCTGGGAGAACATGAGTCATATGCTGTCTCAGGCACAGAAAATGAAAAGATTAACACTTGGCGGTACTTTATCA